GAAAGAGCGTCGAGGAGACCGATCAAAATAAAAAAAAGGAGAACGGGGAACGCTTCCCACACCCGCCTACAACGCCGGAGGGTTCCGTGCCGGGTTCCCGCCGACCAGGCATCCCATATGCATATGTGACTGGGTTTCCCCTGGATCTTCCGAGGTTTTATTTTTTCAACCGTGGGCGAAGAGACCGCTGACATCATCAAGCTGCTGTGGAACACACATATTTTTTAACCACCGTTGTCTGCACCCCGCACTGCTGCTGCTGTGTACTGAAGATGGGCATCCACATGGCGTAGCTCTAGCAATATCACTGTCCGCCCGCGACCGAGGCAGCACACCCCGCCCGCGAGGCATGGCTCCTCCTAACGTTCCATTTAGTGCTCCTTCGTTGGGTGCGACGAGATATGTCCACGCTCGAACGAATGTGAAATCGGCGTCATTTTTTGAAAAAAAAATAACATGCAACCGTCGGCAGCACAACCAGCAGCAGAAGCAGCAGCAGCAGCAGCAGCAGCAGTAGCAGTAGTAGCAAGACTCGTGATATGACAATCGGTTGAAAAGAGACCCCGAGACGCACACGTAGGGGGGGGGCGGCGAGAGGCATCGCAAGGTGGACCCTTACTCCTGTGCGCCAGCGATGACTTGAAGCAGAATGCACTTGTTGTTGTTGTTGACTTCGTATTGTTGTTGTTGTTGACTTCACATTAAACCGTATGCCAGTTGCTAAATGCCAAAATCTAGCAAAGACTCTCGGCCCGTGGTCACGAAAGTGCTGGAGCCATCTGAGGATCTAAAGAACACGCACACGTAGCAAGAAAAAGGTGTACAAGAGCCCGAAGAGGTACTACTACACCTATATATAATCCCTGCAGCACCGTACGCGTGCCCAAAACTGAACTACACGTCCGTCTCACCGTTCGACTACAGCAACATCACCCCCTACTTGTCCCACTCTGTACCAAAACGAATGATTGCCGACTACAGCATACTTGCTGTCTGAAGTGCTGTCTGTACAAAAACACCATGGTAGGCATGGAACAACAAGCTGGCGGGGCACAAGGCTGCTGTCTGAAGTGCTGTCAGAATGTGTCTGCGGACGTACAGTGAAAAAGAACAACCAACCAAAGCCATGATTGCAATGGACAATCACCCGAACCTCTCCCGATCGTCTGTGTTAGGC